TGCAGCAATTCCAGTGTGATGCCCAGCTTTTTCTTGTCACCTACGCAATTTGGGTACAACAATTTTTTGTGATCCTCTAACATGCGCTGCAACTTCTTGTTCTCCAAATCACTTGCGCAGTTTCTCTTTGCATCGGCAATGGCCCGACCTAGATCATCAACAGGCTCATCTGATGCCTCTTCTTCAGCTTCTTCCCGCATTGCCGGCTCAGCTTCTTCCCGCATTACTGGCTCAGCTTCTTCCCCCATTGTTGTATCATCGTATTTAGGGAACCCATGGCCAGGATAGCTGTCGTCGTCCTCTTCTTCTTCATTGTCTTCCATCATAACCCCTTTTTCTCCGTGCTTGGTCCAAACATTATAGTGGGGCATGAAACCGGACTCAAACATGTGGACGTGAATGGTTCTTGACGTAGAGTAATTGCGACCATTCTTACAGCCAGCACATGGACAAGGCATAAAACCATCCGCCCGCTTGTTTGCCTCAGCCGCAAGTAGAAAAGTATGCACGCCCTCAACGAACTGGGGAGAGCATCGGTCATCGTACATCCATTGCCGGCTCATCTTCATTACACAACACTGAATAGACCAAATTAATACAAGTTCATACATAAAGTTCATACAACACTTAAATGCAACAAACAAATAACTCTCTAGCTAAAGCATTTAAATGCAACAACAAATGCGATCAAGATCGCAACTAAGGTAACAATTGATCCAACAGTATAATGATACCAAGCCTCACTATCGATGGCATATTTTCTAATCTTTCTAATCTTCAAGCGCATTTTCTCCATCTTGATCTTGTGATCATCGACGACATCGGCAACATGCAACTCCAATTCCATCTTCTCCCCCTCAATTCTTTTCAATTTTTCTTTCAAGTACTCGTTTTCTCTTTCAACTAAATTTAACCTCTCGACAATAGGGTTGGTTGGAATTTCCGGTTCACATAGCTCCTAGATAAAAATATCTATGTCAACTTGATGGGCATAATTTGTCATAAACATGAAATGCAACAAATAGTTTTAAAAGAGAATATTCCACATCCGAATCATAACAAGGACGAGGGCCGACGGGGACGGATATCAAAACCATGGCACTATGTATAACAAACAACGTACTGGTAAGATAATTATTATACGAGTAACTATATATCCAAATCACACAAACATCAATTTTTTATATAAAATTTCATGAACAAGAGGCTCACCACAAGGTGGTGCCGGCGACGGGACGGTGCGGGCGATCGACGGTGGTTACGACGGAGATTTAGAAGGCACTAAGTAAACCACACCTACATATGCAAACTAAGTTTTACTTTGACCTCAAATTGCATATAAATCAAATACTAGCACATATATATATATTTCCTCCCAAATTACTAAACTCACAAATTAATAACTATATAAAGCATTGCAAGAGCTAATCTAGCAATGAGAGATGCAAGGACAAAGTTGCTAACCTTTGTGATCACTTGAATGGATGGGGGCCTTCAAATCTTGACAAATTTTGGGCAAAATGTGTGATGAGCTCGAGGGGAGAAGAGGAAGAACAGAGAGGAGAGGAGAGGGGAAAGGGGGAAGAACAGAGCGAGCTGGACGAAGGGTTTATATGCAGGAGGACCTATAGTACCGGTTTGTGACACGAACCGGTACTAAAGGTCCTGGAGGGGGCCCAGACTGACAACATCCTGCCACTACCCTCATTAGTACCGGTTCGTGGCACGAACCGGTGCTAAAGGTTAGCCACGAACCGGTACTAATGAGAGCGGCCCGGCTAGCCGTTCGGAACCGGCACTAATGTATACATTTGTGCTGGCTCTAATACAAACCGGCACTAATGTGCTTCACGTTTGACCCTTTTTCTACTAGTGATTCAATTGTAGAGGATCTAGGGTCTCTCCTAAAGCTGCAAGGAGGGTGTCTGCAAGCCCCTGCAAATGCCACACAAGGTCTTCACATTGGCTTCAAATTTCTACATCCACGCTAGGGCACGACTGGGACCGCAGAGACGATCCATCCACCATTATCATTATTCACAGCTCTCTAGCCACCATACACCTTGATACACTCATTTTGCATCACTATCTCATAAGATCAAATCATCATTTATTATTCTTATTCAACTACCATTGCTCTATTTTACC